GTCATTTAACCAAAGAAGTTACCAATTGATACCAACAAAGTCTACCTTAAGCCATAATAGTATTGCTTAGTATTTACAGTGTATTCTAAGGTTTTTCAAGACTTCCTTAATCCTTCTGAGCATGGACTCGATGAGGCACTTTAGGTTACTTCATGCAGACTTTAAACGTAACATTATGTTAACAGGTTTTCATTTCACTTTATCAAGCAATAGTAAATAAAGAACTTTTGGGCATAGCTGTAAGTTTATCTAGAATTAGGAGATTTTATTTGCGCATCACTAAAATGCGAAAAAACAACAAGGTTGAATTGTTAGAAAGGGTATAGAAGAGGGCTGCCAGAATGATGCCTAGGATGTAGGGGTTGTCATACAGGGGAGAGGTTAATATTTCTGCAATGGTTTTCTCTTGAAAAAGAAGAGTTAGAGTGGATCTGATTGAGGTGTTTAAGATTATTAAGGGAATTGATAGCGTTGATGCATGATGAGAATGATAGGACTAAAGGACACAAGTATACATATTGGCAGGGTAGGGGTCATCTTCAGCTAAATGTATTTGTTTGGTTGTTTGTAATTAAGCACAATGATTCACAATGAGCTATCTATGAGTATCGAAACCCGGTTTTTAGCGTTGTAAGTTCGCAGACATCCTTCTGTGCCACTTGGGAGCTCTTCAGGTAAGACAGTTTTATTTTTCTAACAGGGTGATTGGTCTTTGGAACGGGTTGCCTTCAGATGTTGTGGAGGCAGTAAATTTAAGTGAGTTTAAGAGAAAGTTTGATAACTATAAGATGATAAGGGCTGACTTTGAGGTTTTTTTAAATATTTTTATCGACCACCTTTATTTCAGTTTAGAGGATAGGACAGCCTAGATAGACCAATAGGTCCCTTATTTGTCCCTAAACATTATGCTATGTTATTTTTAGCGTACTAACCTTCCAGATTTTTGTGCTAAGCCACACAAGGGCGATCTGTGCATAGCTATCCCTTATTATCAACTGATAGGCCACAGGAAAGGCAGCTAGTCATAAGCATCCACTGCCAGTTCTTAGGTTACCCTGTCTGACTAAATAGTGGGGATTAGGCCGTCACTCTTATAGTGCATTTAAAGACATTACCCTGTCTGACTAAATAGTGGGGATTAGGCCGTCAATCTTATAGTGCATTTAAAGACATTACCCTGTCTGACTAAATAGTGGGGATTAGGCCGTCACTCTTATAGTGCATTTAAAAACCCGAAGTGCAGAGCGAGTTTTGAAGCAACGAGATACGAACCGTGAACCATTGATTCACAGTCAGGACATATCAGTGACTAGGCCACACCTACTGTCTCTGCGTTGAATAACTCATAATTCAACCAGCTTATAGAACTGTGTGATGAGTAACATTATCTTTCATGAACAACCTAGATTAATGATAAGATATAGAAATGTAACACATCTATAACTGTTATTTCTTCATAGGCATACTTAATATTTTATTACTTCAAGCATTCTTCCTCCTTACATATTAATATTTTATTACTTCAAGCATTCTTCCTCCTTACATATTAATATTTTATTACTTCAAGCATTCTTCCTCCTTACATGTTAATATTTTATTACTTCAAGCATTCTTCCTCCTTACATGTTAATATTTTATTACTTCAAGCATTCTTCCTCCTTACATGTTAATATTTTATTACTTCAAGCATTCTTCCTCCTTACATGTTTACATCTTTTGATTTCTCCGAATGATGCTAATTAACAACATTTTGTTTTATTCATTCACTTTACATTTTATAACAAAAATAACGAAAATGCTACAAAAACTATGATTTTGCGAGCAATAGGAGCACACGTACTTAATAGTGATGATACAGTGACATCAGTGTTGTATTCAAATTAAACGTAGACTTGATATGATGTTGGTTTTCCATGGAAAGGTTTTTCGGTTTATTTTTAAACTTGCATAAAATATTCCACAGACTAGTGTTTGTACATGTAGCTCCTGTAAGTAAATCGGTTTATTTTTAAACTTGTATAAAATATTCCACAGACTAGTGTTTGTACATGTAGCTCCTGTAAGTAAATCGGTTTATTTTAAAACTTGTATAAAATATTCCACAGACTAGTGTTTGTACATGTAGCTCCTGTAAATAAATCGGTTTATTTTTAAACTTGTATAAAATATTTCACAGACTAGTCTTTGTACATATAACTCCTGTAAGTAAATCGGTTTATTTTTAAACTTGTATAAAATATTCCACAGTCTAGTGTTTGTACATGTAGCTCCTGTAAGTAAATCGGTTTATTTTAAAACTTGTATAAAATATTCCACAGACTAGTCTTTGTACATATAACTCCTGTAAGTAAATCGGTTTATTTTAAAACTTGTATAAATATTCCACAGACTAGTGTTTGTGCATGTAGCTCCTGTAAATAAATCGGTTTATTTTTAAACTTGTATAAAATATTCCACAGACTAGTCTTTGTACATATAACTCCTGTAAGTAAATCGGTTTATTTTAAAACTTGTATAAATATTCCACAGACTAGTGTTTGTACATGTAGCTCCTGTAAATAAATCGGTTTATTTTTAAACTTGTATAAAATATTCCACAGACTGGTCTTTGTACATATAACTCCTGTAAGTAAATCGGTTTATTTTTAAACTTGTATAAAATATTCCACAGACTAGTGTTAGTACATGTAGCTCCTGTAAGTAAATCGGTTTATTTTTAAACTTGTATAAAATATTCCACAGACTAGTCCTTGTACATATGTATTAAGTAATTAATATTATTTGTTTTCGTTGCTGTATTACTTTAAATTACTATTATATTTATAATTATTGATAATTGATGATTTTTGCAGAGGATTTTCTTGAGAGATTTTTAAACGTCACTGTATATACGGGGTATATAAAACTATATGAATACAAAATGAATACAAAATGTTCTCGAAAAAAAAAGGATTAATTACTTTTTCAACCATAAAAAAAACAAAACAAATCATAACGAACTTTAGGTCAGAATCATTGGGTCAGTCTGAGACACTAAATTGCTGAGAACTAAGGAAAAACCTTTAGATTACACAGACCTGCGAATTTAAAGTTCATAAAAGTTGTTTTGGTTTTAATAACAGACTTACCATAATTCAGCTACGCAGATTTTGAAAATAATAGTAGTTTTTTTTTCTATCACGTAAAAACATTTTACAAATCGGGAGGGGGGGGGACTCTTACTCAGATCAAATTATTATTTAGTTTACCACAATGAACCTTTTTTATTATTATGTTTGTTTACAAAAATACAAACAAACTGAAGAAAAGGGAAAAACATTGATGTCAAACGAATATGCATCTTCATTCATCCTGATTTGTGTGTGAAATCTACGTTTTTTAGTCTCAAAACTACGTGTTGTGGTCTTTCTTTTATGTATTACGTTATGACGTTTTATGAAAAATGTGTACGTGATGGAGAAAAATGGATATAATTTTCGGATTCACCGTACTGTACGACATGTAAAAATTTCAAGACAATAAAACCCTCGCAGGTCTGTGTTATTAAAGCTACTATATTACTGACAATATGTTTTGCATACATAACATTTTATGTTCATGAAAGTGTGTTTGCTCTTACACTATATTTTGGACAATGGAAAATTATGTAATCATTGTAGCTTATTTGTATAAATGTGCTCATTACCATATTCTATATTCCAATTTCTTTACATTCACAATCCCAATAATCATATTACCGACTTGTTTTTAAACCGTTTACTACCGGTATGGCTCACACATTACATCAGAATGATTAATTTTATGTTTTTTATGCCTGTTACGGCACTCATTAAAAAAAATGACTAGATCATTTGGTGAAATCTTTCAATTCCTAAACAAAATCAGGGGCTAATTCAGAGGACAGAGTGACTAACCGCCACCTTCCTTTTTCTAAGTAAATTTTACAAATCAAGGATCGTCAAAGTGTAATCAGAATAAAAAATGGGAGGAAGTGTAAGGAATCCTACCAACCGGCATGTATACTATTTGGAGTTGGCTAGTTCGTGTAGTTTACTGGGAAGACATGTCATAGACCCTATCAAGTAGCCAGCTCTCTGAATAGAATTTTGGATCAACCCCTGAAAAGACGTTAGAAAACCCCAGAACTAATTAGTGGGATTATTTGCAGTTTGATGGTACTTTTATTTATTTGTATGGCTTATGCTACCATGGACCCAGGACAAAGAAAATAAGCGACCCGCAAGCTATTTAATGTAAAAAATAGTTTAGAAACAATATATGTGTTAATGGTCACATGGTAAACCAGATTCAAAAAGAACAGGTGTCTCAGATTCTACTTACTTAAAAGATAACGTGCCAACGAGAATATATTCATCGCTAGGTTAGGCTCTAATGTTCTTTTCATGTCCAAAAGGTGGCGTTTGGCTCTTTGGATGGTGGTGTTTTTTGTTAAAGTAAGCCCCATCTGATGATGGATAGGTGAACTAATAAACTGTTGTACATCAAATAAATCTGCATGCTGATACATCTGTGGAAACTGGACGATGGTGGCATCATCCGTAGCAGCGGGCGGCAGGTTACAGAAGGCCAGTAGGGTTAGCAGGGACAAATGAAATCTTGACATCCTGAAACAGAAGACTATAGATTTTCACAGAATCACAAGAATACATTTGAATTCAAGAATTCACAGTTGTTAGAAACAACTAAGCCTAACCAATGAAATACGGTTTTAAGTAAGTAAGAGAAATAAGCCTAATTAATTTTGAATTGTAGGTCTAAAACATATACAAACACTTCAAGTAAGTGAAACATAGCCTTTGATTTAATTAAATGATGCAATTATATACTACATCGAACCAGTACCAAAGTTACAGCGTAAGGTTTAATTCTCACAGTAGTATGATTAATATCGCTGTAATGTTTATGTAGCAGTTATAAAATTAAACAATTATTCCATAAAAGTATCATACTTTAGATTGAATGCCGATCAGCTAGGATTTGAATCATAATTAAGCTATTCTATCAGTTCAATTACGTGAGCGACCAACTTTATTGATAGCAAACATACCTAGAATAATTGATGTTATTTTGGAAATAATAGGTAAATTTGACGAAAGCACTATTTTTATGCCTTTAGATGGTGAGTTGTATAATATGACAGACATATTAATATCCTGATTTTCCAATATTTGCTATTATGATCTCGACAGAGATGATCGAAACATTTGAAATTTTACTTAATTTTTTACAAAAATGACGATTATTTTTATGTTAGCACTTTGAAAAAAAGAAGAAATAAAATTGGCAAAGTTCCAATATTTTGCCGTGAGATACCTAGAATTATGATTTATTTTTCGAAGATAAACACAAAGCTACACTACGGGTTATCTGTGCGTTGCCAACCACGGGTATCGAGACATACCACTGTGTTGGCTGGAGACGGCTTGAATGGGTAATGAAGAAAAACTTTAATATAAGTTTAACATAACAGCAAATGTAAACTGAAAAGTAACCTCACAAGTAACGAGATTAAATCCATTTCCAATCTTAAAAAGGACACTAACATTAAAATTCTGAAAGCTGATAAAGGCAACACCACTGTCATCATGAACAATTCAGAATACATCGACAAAATGAA